TGGGGAAAGCGGATCGTAGAGAGAGTGCGTCGTGATTGGGTCATTAAGGAACGACGCTCACGTCGACGCCGCATCAGCTCCGTCTCTCGTGAGCAGGGGCTATAAAAGGGGATGCACACAGGCGTAAGGGCAGTGTGTAACCAGCGAAGAATGAAGACGGGGATGAAGACCTAGAGCCCTGCGGTACCTAGCCCCGCTGTCCTAAGGGGACCGGGACTCTGTGTAACCCAGAGGCGAGTGTAGTGGGTGTAGCCATAGGTCTACACGAGCCGAATGTACTATGTGTAGCCAGGGCATAGGGCTTACACGAGTCGAGTGTATTGTGTAGCCAGAGGCATAGGGCTTACACGAGTCGAGTGTATTGTGTAGCCAGAGGCATAGGGCTTACACGAGTCGAGTATATGGTGTGTAGCCAGAGGCATAGGGTCTACACGAGTCAAGCGTATCGGGTGTAGCCAGAGGCCTAGAGCTTACACGAGATTAGTGGAGTGTGTCGGAGGAAGAAGAAAGACCACACGTTGTATTGTGATACCTAAAGGATTTAATAAAAGTGTGTTACCCGTCAAGAAGTTCCTGCCGTCAATTCCCATACTTCATGTGTGGAGTACGTGTGGTGTGTGTGTGGAGTACGTGTGGTGTGTGTGTGTGGAGTACGTGTGGTGTGTGTGTGTGGAGTACGTGTGGTGTGTGTGTGTGGAGTACGTGTGGTGTGTGTGTGTGGAGTACGTGTGGTGTGTGTGTGGAGTACGTGTGGTGTGTGTGTGGAGTACGTGTGGTGTGTGTGTGTGGAGTACGTGTGGTGTGTGTGTGTGGAGTACGTGTGGTGTGTGTGTGGAGTACGTGTGGTGTGTGTGGAGTACGTGTGGTGTGTGTGTGTGGAGTACGCGTGGTGTGTGTGTGTGGAGTACGTGTGGTGTGTGTGTGTGGAGTACGTGTGTGTGTGTTGAGTACATGTGGTGTGTGTGTGTGGAGTACGTGTGGGGTGTGTGTGGAGTACGTGTGGTGTGTGTGTGTGGAGTACGTGTGTGTGTGTGGAGTACATGTGGTGTGTGTGTGTGGAGTACGTGTGTGTGTGTGGAGTACGTGTGGTGTGTGTGTGTGGAGTACGTGTGTATGTGTGGAGTACGTGTGGTGTGTGTGTGGAGTACGTGTGGTGTGTGTGTGTGTGGAGTATGTGTGGGGTGTGTGTGTGGAGTATGTGTGGGGTGTGTGTGTGGAGTACGTGTGGTGTGTGTGTGTGTGGAGTATGTGTGGTGTGTGTGTGTGGAGTACGTGTGTGTGTGTGTGGAGTACATGTGGTGTGTGTGTGTGGAGTACGTGTGTGTGTGTGGAGTACGTGTTGGTGTGTGTGTGTGGAGTCCGTGTGTGTGTGTGGAGTACATGTGGTGTGTGTGTGTGGAGTACGTGTGTGTGTGTGGAGTACGTTGTGGTGTGTGTGTGTGGAGTACGTGTGGTGTGTGTGTGGAGTACGTGTGGTGTGTGTGGAGTATGTGTGGGGTGTGTGTGTGGAGTACGTGTGGGGTGTGGTGGAGTACGTGTGGGGTGTGTGTGTGTGGAGTCGTTGGTGTGGGTGTGTGGAGTACGTGTGGTGTGTGTGTGGAGTACGTGTTGTTGTGTGTGTGTGGAGTACGTGTGTGGTGTGTGAGTGTGTGGAGTATGTGGGTGTGTGTGTGTGTGTGGAGTACGTGTGTGTGTGTGGAGTACGTGTGGTGTGTGTGTGTGGAGTACGTGTGGTGTGTGTGTGTGTGGAGTACGGTGGTGTGTGTGTGTGTGTGGAGTACGTGTGGTGTGTGGTGTGTGGAGTACGTGTGGTGTGTGTGGAGTACGTGTGGTGTGTGTGTGTGGAGTACGTGTGGTGGTGTGTGTGTGGAGTACGTGTGGTGTGTATGTGTGAAGTACGTGTGGTTGTGTGTGGAGTACGTGGGGTGTGTGTGTGTGGAGTACGTGGGGTGTGTGTGGAGTACGTGTGGTGTGTGTGTGGAGTACGTGTGGTGTGTGTGTGGAGTACGGTGGTGTGTGTGGTGGAGTACGTGTGGTGTGTGTGGAGTACGTGTGGTGTGTGTGTGGAGTAGTGGTGTGTATGTGTGGAGTACGTGTGGTGTGTGTGGAGTACGTGTGTGGTGTGGTGTGTGGAGTACGTGTGGTGTGTGTGTGTGGAGTACGTGTGGTGTGTGTGTGGGAGTACGTGGTGTGTGTGGTGGAGTACGTGTGGTGGTGTGGTGTGTGGAGTACGTGTGGTGTGTGTGTGGAGTACGTGTGGTGTGTGTGTGTGGAGTACGTGTGGTGTGTGTGTGGAGTACGTGTGGTCTGTGTGTGTGGAGTACGGTGTGGTGTGTGTGTGTGGAGTACGTGTGGTGTGTGTGTGGAGTAGTGGTGTGTGTGTGTGGAGTGTGGTGTGTGTGTGGAGTACGTGTGGTGTGTGTGTGGGAGAACGTGTGATGTGTGTGTGGAGTACGTGTGGGTGTGTGTGGAGTACGTGTGGTGTGGGTGTGGAGTACGTGGGTGGTGTGTGGAGTAGGTGTGTGTGTGTGGAGTACGTGTGGTGTGTGGAGTACGTGTGGTGTGTATGTGTGGAGTACGTGTGGTGTGTGTGTGGCTGTACGTGTGGTGTGTGTGTGTGGAGTACGTGTGGTTGTGTGTGTGTGGAGTATGTGTGGTGTGTGTGGTGTACGTGTGGTGTGTGTGTGGAGTACGTGTGGTGTGTGTGGGTGTGGAGTACGTGTGGTGTGTGTGTGGAGTACGTGTGGTGTGTATGTGTGGAGTACGTGTGGTGTGTATGTGTGGAGTACGTGTGGTGTGTGTGGAGTACGTGTGGTGTGTGTGTGGAGTACGTGTGGTGTGTGTGTGTGTGGAGTACGTGTGGTGTGTGTGTGTGGAGTACGTGTGGTGTGTATGTGTGTGTGTGGAGTACGTGTTGGGTGTGTGTGTGTGGAGTACGTGCTGGGTGTGTGTGTGTGGAGTACGTGTGGTGTGTGTGTGTGGAGTACCTGTGGTGTGTGTGTGTGTGGAGTACGTGTTGGGTGTGTGTGTGTGTGGAGTACGTGTGGTGTGTGTGTGTGGAGTACGTGTGGTGTGTGTACGTGTGGAGTACGTGTGTGTGTGTGTGTGTAGTACGTGTGGTGTGTGTGTGTGTAGTACGTGTGGTGTGTGTGTGTGGAGTACGTGTAGTGTGTGTGGAGTACATGTGGTGTGTGTGTGTGTGTAGTACGTGTGGTGTGTATGTGTGGAGTACGTGTGGTGTGTATGTGTGGAGTACGTGTGGTGTGTGTGTGTGGAGTACGTGTTGTGTGTGTGTGTGGAGTACGTGTGTTGTGTGTGTGTGTAGTACGTGTGTTGTGTGTGTGTGTGGAGTACGTGTGGTGTGTGTGTGGAGTACGTGTTGTGTGTGTGTGGAGTACGTGTGTTGTGTGTGTGTGTAGTATGTGTGGTGTGTGTGTGGAGTACATGTGGTGTGTGTGTGGAGTACGTGTGGTGTGTGTGTGGAGTACGTGTGGTGTGTGTGTGGAGTACGTGTGTTGTGTGTGTGTGGAGTACGTGTTGTGTGTGTGTGTAGTACGTGTGGTGTGTGTGTGTGGAGTACGTGTGGTGTGTGTGTGGAGTACGTGTGGTGTGTGTGTGGAGTACATGTGGTGTGTGTGTGTGGAGTACGTGAGGTGTTTATGGTTTACAGGAAACACCCACGCGCATTACTCGCAGTCTCATCTGCTCTCCCCCATCTCTCTCCTCTCTCTCTCTCTGCTACCTCTCCCCCCTGTCTCCCTTCTCAATCTCTCCCTCTGTCCCCCCAGCCTCCCCTCCCTCCCTGCAACCTCCCCCCCCCCTCAAACCGCACGTCCCCCCAGGGCCACGTTACTCAGCGCCATCCCCCTTCCGGTAACTCATTACGGACTGAGGGGCACCATTGAACACGGGGGAGCACAGGGGGTGAGTGCAGGGTGGGCGGCTCGCAGGTTGCTGGGGTAGGAGTTGGTCGGAGTGACGTGAGGAGTGAATTTACGATTTTCGCGATTTTCGCCATTGAGCTCTATAGACCACGTAACGAGTTTAGCGCAATCTGTGTCGTGAAACCCTCCACCTACCCGACTCTCAACCAACCCACCCACACGCCCGCCCACTCACTCGCCGGCTCGCTCACTCTGGGGTCGTTGGACGCAGGAGGGAGAGAGAGAGTGCAGGAGATAGAGGGAGAGAAGGAGAGAGAGAGGATGAGTCAGGGAGCCGGAGTAGGAGAGAAAGGTGGAGTAGGAGATAGAATAGGAGATAGGGAGATAGAACGATGGACTCGTGCCGTGAACCCGGCTGGATGGTCATGTGACCCCCCCCCCAAGGAGGCCAATGGCTCAGAGGGAGGGGGGGTCAGCGAGCTCCCCACATTTATAAATTGAGGGGGACTCCTCTCTCTGCCCCCCCAGAGTGGCAACGCACCCCACCGCCTGGGTCCCCTCCTCCCCGGTTCACACAGTAATAATGTATTATGATTCATTATAAGTGTATTATTGTTTATTATGAGTGTATTATTATTCAACATACGTGTATTATGATTCATTATAAGTGTATTATTGTTTATTATACGTGTATTATTAGTTATTATAATATTATTATAACAAGCGACTGGGCAGCAGACGCCTCCTGCGTCTCCAATTCCGCCCACCGGCGTAAAATCTCCGAGGGTTATTTTACAGCCATTAAGCCAGCTGGCCTCCTCTGGCTGGTGGTGGTGGGTGAATTTGTGTCAGTGTGGTGATGGTTATGGTAGTTGTGGTTGTATCGATGTAGTGATGGTTGTGGTGCCGTGTTGGTTGTAGCGGTGGTGATGATGGTTTAATTGGTGTGTTGATCGGTGGTGGTCAATCAATCCATAGAGACCCACCACAGTGCAGGGGGCATGGAGCAGTGGCAGGGGTGGAGACAGAGACCCCTGGTGTTGGTTGTGGTGCTGGTGGTGGCTGTGGTGGTGCTGGTGGTGATGCTGCTGGTGGTGGTCGTGGTGGTGGTGGCACCTGTTTTGGCATCGATGGAGAAGTGTGGCTGTCCCTCGCGCATGCTGTACACGAGCTTCGCGCTGTTCCCGTACGCGGGGTCGTCCGCGTCGCTCGCCGACACGCGGATCACGGAGGTGCCTGCGGGGGGGGGGGGGGGCAGGGCCGGATCAAGGCGTGGGGGCTTCAGGGGCTGCAGCCCAGGGGCCTCCGCCAGCTCGAGGGGGCCTCCAGAGACGAAGTGAAAAGCGAGTTCACTTGTGAATGCTGAATTTTATTTGTTGTTAGCCTTGTAAAAAATATATATTTTTCTTTAACTTTGTTTTCCTCACAGTCCCTTTAGCCTAGGGTCTTCACAATCTTCATCCGGCCGTGGGTGCACGCAGCCAAATACATTCACACGCTCACTGACAGCGCACCAGGTACGTATTAAGGCTAAGTAGACCTAGTGGAGGCCCAGGGCCGGTTCAGATGTTCGCTATCACTGATGTCGGCCGTGGCCGGGAAGCGATGTTGGTGTCGCCGGGTTGCGCTAACTGCTCCACCTCCGCTCCCCGCACACGTGCTCACTCTCCAGAGTGCAGGCCGCTTCACCAGCAGTGGAGTGCGTCAGACATTGCAGAGCTGCGCCTTTAACCGATAACTCTCTCTGTGTGATCTCTTCCAACCCTCTCCCATCTCTCCCCCACCTCTCTCATCTCTTTCATCTCCCTCTCAGCCCTCACCTCTCTCCCACCTCTCTCATCTCTCCCATCTCTCCTCCATCTCTCCCCGATCTCTACCATCTCTCTCCCGTCTTCCCCATCTTTCCTCCATCTCTCTGCCATCTCTCACCCCATCTCTCTCAAATGTATCTGCCACCTCTCTTTTATCTGTCCCCCACCTCTCCCATCTATTACGCTTCACCCACCTCTCCCCCATCTCTCCCGATCTCTCCTCCACCTGTCACTTACATTTCACATCTCTAGCATCGCCCCACCTCTCCCTTATCTTTCACCCATCTCTCGCCATCTCTCTCCCACCACTCCCCTACATCTCCCGCATCTCTCGTATCTCTCTCCTATTTCTCTACCACATCTCTTCCCGACCTCCTCCCGATCTCTTCGTCTCCATCCCATCTCTCTCTCCTATCTCTCTCTCCCATCTCTCTCCCCCATCTCTCTCATCTCTCTCCCATCTCTCCCATATCTCTCCCTTCTCTCTCCCATCTCTCACCCACCTCTCTCTCCCTATCCCCCCCCGCCCACCCTCCCCACCACCGCCCACACCTCTCCCGCGCTAACAACTGCGCCCCACGTACCCACGTCGGCCATCTCGGGCACCACGGCCCTGTAGGGCGCGTCGGGGAAGCGCGGCTCGTTGTCGTTGATGTCCTGGACCTTGATGATGAACTCGGAGCGGGGCTCGAGCGGCGCGCCCGTCAGGCGGTCGAGCGCCTGCGCCACGAGGGTGTACTGCGCCTTGTGCTCGCGGTCCACGCGGCCCGACACGCGGATGTCGCCCGTGTACTCGTCGATGAGGAAGGTGCTGCCCGCGCCCTCGCCGCTCAGCACGTACCTCACCGAGCCGTCCTGGTGGTCCAGGTCCGAGTAGAGCTGGGAGGAGGGGACCACCGGGGAGCGGGAGGGGCGGGAGGGGAGGGAGGTGGCAGGAGGGGAGGGAGGGAGCGGGAGGGGAGGGAGCAGGAGGGGAGGGAGGGAGCAGGAGGGGGCAGGAGGGGAGGGAGGTGGCAGGAGGGGAGGAGGGGAGGGAGGGGACGGGGAGCGGGAGAGGGCAGGAGGGGAGGAAGGGGGCAGGAGGGGGCAGGAGGGGAGGAAGGGGGCAGGAGGGGAGGAGGGGAGGGAGCAGGAGGGGGCAGGAGGGGAGGGAGGTGGCAGGAGGGGAGGGAGGGAGGGAGCAGGAGGGGGCAGGAGGGGAGGGAGGGGGCAGGAGGGGAGGGAGGGAGGGAGCAGGAGGGGGCAGGAGGGGAGGAAGGGGGCAGGAGGGGAGGGAGCAGGAGGGGGCAGGAGGGGAGGGAGGGGGCAGGAGGGGAGGGAGGGAGGGAGCAGGAGGGGGCAGGAGGGGAGGGAGGTGGCAGGAGGGGAGGGAGGGAGGGAGCAGGAGGGGGCAGGAGGGGAGGGAGCAGTAGGGGGCAGGAGGGGGCGGGAGGGGGAAGGAGGGGAGGGAGGGAGCGGGGAGGGAACAGGGAGGTGGGGGGGGGGATGAGAGCTCAAGGGTGGTGGTGATGATAGTGATGATCATAGTGATGATGATGGTGACAGTGATGATGGTGATGATGATGATGGTGATAGTGATGCTGGTGGTGGTGATGATGGTGGTGGTGATGATAATGGCGATGATGGCAATGATGGTAAACTATAAGTAGCAGTAGCATTGGCAGCACCATCATCAGGAGCATCATCCACAGTAGAATTCCCTTGAGCTGCAGCAGCAGCAGCAGCAACTCCGGTAAGTTCGAAAGATCGTCTCGTCGGGTTGGAGATCGAAAACGTGGTACACAGAGTCAAGTTTCTGCATAATGAGCAGTCATGGTCACTCCGCTGCTGGATGAAACCCCCCCGCCCCCAGCCCCCCAGCCCTTGCCTCCCCGCCCCTTCCACGCAATGGCTTTCGTTGCGGCCACGGCGGAGAGGCGTTTGACAATGACCACGCTTCACCGCCCTGAGCACTGTGCACGGTGGGGCAGTGAGTGGGGTGCGGACATCCACGACAGATAACATCTCTATCAGCGGCGAGAGCGACAACTCCCTCGCCTGGTGCGCAGGAGGTCGTGGGTTCGACCCCGAGCCTGACGCCTGCTGCTGCTGCTGCTGTGTATGTGGAGTTTGCGGTGTCTCTCCTCTCGGTCGCGTGGATTTATCTCTGGGTCCTCCGGGTTTCCCCTCCACATTGAGAATCAACGTCACCCGTTCAGAGAGTGTCTGCTTGACATAAATGTCCACATCCTGATAAGCCGCTCCGCGTAGCTATCATTTGTGATCGCCAGTTCGCTTCTGAAAAAAAAAACAGCTCCGTAGCTCAGTGGGGCCTTGCCCCTGGTAAGATAGAAACACAAAATAATAGTTACAAAATAAGTAGTGTCGTGGGCGAGCCGTGAGCGGGTTACCCGCAGGGTTTCACAGTTGGCGGCGTGCTAACCACTGCGCCACCGCTCCTCGGTTCTTCACCCGCTAATCTACCTCGCAATTGATTGGCGGTGATGATTGACAGCCTTGAGTGGTGGGCGTGCGTCAGAGAATGCTTTAATTATGTCGTCTGCCCCTCCCCCCTAATTCCACCCCCTCAGCCCCCCACCACCGTGGCTGCAATCGTTGTTCATTAATTATAATCGACCCCCACCCCCTCTCCAGAGTCTCTTGGTTAACATCGGGTTTTGTGGGGAATCGTTTTGGGCTGCCTGGAGCGCGTTCAAGCAATCATCGTCAGCAGCAGCAGCAGCAACAGCGTCATCATCATCAGCTGTACCAGCACCAGCTTCATCATCAGCAGCGTCATCATCATCAGCAGCGTCATCATCATCAGCAGCGTCATCATCATCATCAGCGTCATCATCATCAGCAGCTGTACCAGCACCAGTTTCATCATCAGCAGCGTCATCATCATCAGCAGCGTCATCATCATCAACAGCGTCATCATAATCAGCAGCGTCATCATCATCAGCAGTGTCATCATCATCAGCAGCGTCATCATCATCAGCAGCTGTACCAGCACCAGCTTCATCATCAGCAGCGTCATCATCATCAGCAGCGTAAACATCATCAGCAGCGTCATCATCATCAGCAGCTGTACCAGCACCAGCTTCATAATCAGCAGCGTCATCATCATCGCCGTCATCATCATCAGCAGCGTCATCATCATCAGCAGCGTCATCATCATCAGCAGCTGTACCAGCACCAGCTTCATCATCAGCAGCATCATCATCAGCAGCTGTACCAACACCAGCTTCATCATCAGCAGCGTCATCATCATCAGCAGCGTCATCATCATCAGCAGCGTCATCATCATCAGCAGCTGTACCAGCACCAGCTTCATCATCAGCAGCGTCATCATCATCAGCAGCGTCATCATCATCAGCAGCTGTACCAGCACCAGCTTCATCAGCAGCATCAGCTTCATCAACAGCAGCATCATCATCAGCAGCATCATCATCAGCATCATCATCAGTAGCATCATCAGTGACTTCATCAACAGCAGCATCAGCTTTATCAGTATCAGCAGCATCATCAGTAGCATCATCAGTGGCCTCATCAACTACAGCATCAGCTTTATCAGTATCAGCAGCATCATCAGCATCATCAGCATCATCATCAGCAGCTTCGTCAGCATACTATTTCGATGGAGGGGGCGGTGGCAGCGAGTGTGCTAACCGCTGCCCCACCGCTCCACCACCACCTACCCACCCCCCAATATGCTCGTCAATACCGCGGCCTGTGAACCGAATTCACACACACACAACACACGCAATAGGCGATCGTTTTCCAGTAGCGACATGTGCCATGGAGAAGGGCCATTGCATGAACCGTCGCAGTGTTGTTGACACGGAGCGTGTTGTTGTTGTGTTAATTGCGATTGGCGCACCACTGCCCCGGCTGGCAGGTCAGTGACGATGAGCGTCACGTGGTGGGCGATGCTGGCTCCAACCAACCCTGCCAGGCGGGAGGGAATCCAAACGCTAACCCAGCCGGGCACGCGGGGGGATGGAGGGGGTCAGGGACTGGGGGGGGGGGGGGGGGTCAGGGACCTGAGTGGGGGGTCAGGGACCGGGGGGGAGGGGGGAGATGACCTTCAGCCACCCATCCGCCCGCCGCTCCGCACACCGGCCCCGTCACTCGCAGCTCCCGGGTCAATTAACAATTAAGGCGGCGTAGGGGGCCAATTGGGACCCCCAATTGGGACCCCCCTCCCTCGTCCCCGTTGGTGGGGGGGGGGGGGGTATGAGCGAGCGGGTTGCGCTTTCTTAACGAGCCGGGCACTCCGCGTGGGACCGCCACGAGAGAGACGGGGAGGGAGGGATGAGGAGGGAGGCATCTTAATTTAGCCCGCGGAGTCGGAGCGGATTTTACCCACATGGGAAGCAAGTGAGTCAGTGTGTGTGTGAGTCAGTGTGTGTGTGTGAGTCAGTGTGTGTGAGTCAGAGTGCGTGTGAGTCAGTGGGGAGCGGTAGTGTAGCAGTTAGCGCGCTGCGCTATGAACCTGGCGACCCGGGTTCGATTCCCACTCACGGCCAACACCAGTGACGATTATCTGAACAGGTCCTGGGCCTCCCCTAGGTCGACTCAGCCTTAAATGAGTACCTGGTGCGGTGTGTAAACATCGACACTGGGGAGACAAAGGCGGTTGGGCGTGGTGCTGGCCAACCACCCCCTCGTGTACCGTTCGGGCCTTCATAGGTGCTCGCTAACAGCACTTGCCCCTACAGTCTGTTAAGGCTATACAGGGGATCTTTGTTTGTGTGTGAGTCAGTGTGTGTGTGTGTGAATCGTCTGGCAAAACAACCTCCTACCTCCTCGCGGTGCCGGACGGGCAAAACTGTCGTGGACATTGCTGTGGGAGGAGGGCCAATGCCTCATTGGCCTCTACCCTCATGGCGTCTGTGACCACCACAGTGGCTAAACGGGGGCTCTGGACGGGTGCGAGGGGCTGGTAACCCCTCCATCTTCAATTAATTACCACGAAACCACGACTTAAACATAAACCTGTAACAAATAAGCTTGTGCCGGAGGCCCCGGGGGGACAGGCGTCTATGACGTCTCCTGGCCAAACCCCAAATGGCGGAGCCAGGAGATTAAATCTTCATGCCTCGGGGCTCCTCCAGAAACAACGAAAAGACATTACGAATGGCCACGTGGAATGTTCGAACGCTCACTGCGGAGGAGAGGCTGCCACTCCTTTGTCGGGAGCTGGACCGGTACCGCCTGGATCTCTGTGGCATTCCGGAGGTCCGGTGGACCGGTTCTGGCTCCTGCCACCATGCGGGGTGGACAGTCCTCTACTCGGGGCAGGAGACTGCCAAACAACAGGGTGTGGCTCTTCTTTTGAACAAAAGAATGAAGGGGGCGTGGGAGCTTGGCAGTGAGGTGTGGGAAGCTGTAAGCCCCAGGATACTTTGGGCTCACCTTCCCATCAACTGGAGGCGAGGAGTGGTGGTCGTGGTTACTTATGTCCCTACCGAAGACGAACATCCGTGGAGGGATGCAGGCAAAGCCGATGAGTCAGATGCCTTCTATGCCCTCCTGTCACAGGTGCTGGCTAAAGTGGACACTTGGGACAGAGTCATATTGTTGGGTGACTTCAATGACCGAGTTGGTCATGATGCTGGCACCTGGTCTGGAGTGATTGGAAGGCATGGGCCAGATCAGCTCAATAACAACGGTAGGAGGCTGCTAGATTTTTGTGCAGCCCATGGGCTTGTAATTACCAACACGCTCTTCCGGCATCGGCGCATCCACACAACATCATGGACGCA